ATAAGAGAAATCATTTTATACTCTGTCATTTTCTACTACATTCATTTATATTTATATATATATTATTATTATTATTGAAGTATAGTTGATTTACAATGTTGTGTTAATTTCTGCTGTACAGCAAAGTGATTCAGTTATGCATACACACACACACACACACACACATTCATTTTTTATATTCTTTTCCATTATGGTTTACCATAGGATACTGAATTCTCTGTGCTATACAGTAGGACCTTGTTGTTTATCCATTGCGTATATAATTGCTTATGCCTGCTAACCCCAACCTCTCACTCCATCCCTCCCCCAACCCCCTTCCCCTTGGCAACCACATGTCTGTTCTCTATGTCCGTGAGTCCATTTCTGTTTTGCAGATAGGTTCATTTGTGTCATATTTTAGATTCCACATGTAAGTGATATCATATGGTGTTTGTCTTTCTCTGTCTGACTTACTTCACTTAGTATGATAATCTCTAGTTGCATCCATGTTGCTGCAAATGGCATTATTTCATTCTTTTTTATGGCTGAGTAGTATTCCATTATATATATGTACCACATCTTCTTTAACCATTCATCTGTCAATGGACATTTAGATTGTTTCCATGTCTTGGCTATTGTGAATAGTGCTGCTGTGAACTAGGGGTGCATGTATCTTTTTGGATTAGAATTTTGTCTGGATATGTACCCAGGAGTGGGATTGCTGGATCATATGGTAATTCTATTTTTAGTTTTCTGAGGAACCTACATACTGTTCTCCATAGTAGCTGAACCAATTTACATTTCCACCAACAGTATAGGAGGGTTCCCTTTTCTTCACATCCTCTCCAGCATTTATTATTTGTAGAGTTTTTAATGATGGCCATTCTAACCCATGTGAGGTGATACCTCATTGTAGCTTTGATTTGCAATTCTCTAATAATTAGCAATGTTGAACATCTTTTCACGTGCCTATTGGCCATTTGTATTTCTTCTTTGGTGAACTGTCTATTTAGGTCTTCTGCCCATTTTTCTATTGGGTTGTTTGTTTTTTTGTTGTTGGGTTATATGAGCTGTTTGTATATTTTGGAAATTAAGCCCTTGTCAGTCACATTGCTTGCAAATCTTTTCTCCCATTCTGTAGGTTGTCTTTTTGGATTTTTTATGGTCTCCTTTGCTGTGCAAAAGCTTGTAAGTTTGATTAGGCCCCATTTGTTAATTTTTGTTTTTATTTCTATTGCCTTGGGAGACTGACCTAAGAAAACATTGGTACGATTTATGTCAGAGAATGTTTTGCCTATGATCTCTTCTAGGAGTTTTATGGTGTCGTGTCTTATGTTTAAGTCTTTAAGTCATTTTGAGTTTATTTTTGTGTATGGTGAGAGCGTGTGTTCTAACTTCATTGATTTACATTCTACTACATTCATTTTTTTAAATTTCTTTTCTGGGCTTCCCTGGTGGCGCAGTGGTTGAGAGTCCGCCTGCCGATGCAGGGGACACAGGTTCGTGCCCCGGTCCGGGAAGATCCCACATGCAGCGGAGCGGCTGGGCCCGTGAGCCATGGACGCTGAGCCTGCGCGTCCGGAGCCTGTGCTCTGCAACGGGAGAGGCCCGTGTACCGCCAAAAAAAAAAAAATTTCTTTTCTGCCACCTTCCATAGAAGACTTAAAGAAAAAACACAGTAAAGTAGAAAAGTAAATATAGAAATAAAAACTGAATTCAGGAAAATGCAGAAGAGCAAACTGAAGAAGAAAGTCAAAATATGAATGTGCAGACTATTACTTATCAGAAGTAGAGTGACAGGAACAGTTTATTGTTCACCAAAATCTGTTTTCCTTCTTCTTGGGCATACAACTGGATTGCACTCCCCGACCTCCCTTGCAGTTTGATTTTCAGCCAAGGGGATGTGAACAGAAGTTGTATGTGCCATTTGTGGCCATGGTCCATGAAACCCTTCCTTTGCATTCTTCCATACTCTTTCCTCCTTCCACTTGACTGGGAAGAACAGGACAGTAGTGACCTTGGAAGCCCTGTTCTGAGGATGGCAGGGCCTCTCTCATCCTAGGTCCTTTAATGCCTATGTGGGGGAGAGGGGTCCAGCCAATCCACACACCTGCCCAGGACTGTCACCTGAGCCAAGGCATGAATTTTGATTGTCTTTGATCCACCAATCAGTGTTTGTTACTTCAGCCTAGTATAGCCTAAATAATACATGCAATCGACACAAAGCACAGTAAACCCATATTTTCTATTTGGATTTTGGCAGGGCTTTTTACAGATGGGAAATAGTCTAGACAGACATTCACCCAGCAAACAGCAATTCAGGACATTCCTGGCTTTAGAACTAGTTAGTCCTTCTTTTCAACATTGGAGTAGGTCTCAGCTGGAACAAGGGGTTAGTTAATCCTCCAAAGGGTTAAGCACAGTGTTGCCAGTGAGCATCAGGAAACTTAGGGGACAGGAAGTGTCCAGCTGCAGGGCATCATCAGTTCAAAAACCACAGGATCACAACTGGAGACTGAGGAGCCCACGTTGTCCGTGAATCATTGAGTTGAAACCAGGAAGAAGAGGTCAGTGTCTGGAGTTGGTCAAGTTGGCAAAATCAAGAACCCCAGGGGATGGCAGGTCAATATGCAAGTCAAGAAAGCCAGAATCCAGGCTGCTGGGTTCAAATCCCAGCTTCACTCCTGACTAATTATGAAATCTTGGGCAAGTTATTAATGTTTCCAGGCTGATTTATTTCTTCTTCTACAAAACTTGGGTAATAAAGCTATGTATTTCAAAGGGGCATTGTGAAAGTTAAGTATATCTAAAAGGCTTAGATCAGTGCCTGGCACATAGTAAGCATTCAGGAAATGATGACTATTTTTCATGCCTACGAAGCAGAGGATGGTGGAGTACCCCTTGTGGGGCTCAGGATCCAGTGCAAACCAGGAGCCTGGCCAGAAAGGGCTGAGCACCAGGCTCTCCTCAATACAGATATTCCCACCTGAAGCTGTGGCCTGTGGCTTTTAGTCTTGGCCTACCTGGATCTGAAGTGGGGAGTAGCTGGGTCATCCCACTACCCTACAACACCCCGTGACTCACCACCAGTGGCCACCACTGGCCAGACAGCATGTAGGAGCTTCCTGGCCCCTTACATGGGGGAGAGAGGGCAGCAACAGCAGGAATCGCCTGTCCCGAGGGAAGACACCCCTAAGGCCTCCTGGGCGGACACAAGTCAGTTCATTGAGATTGACCAGGAGAAGAGAGATGGGGAATAGAACTTGCATGGGTGTCAAAGTCTCAGATCCTCTAAATATCAGCTATGTGACTTTTGGGTGAGTCTCTGAACTTTACTCTTTTCTCATCTAAAATGCTATTTTAAATTGCTACATTATGAATAAATAAGGTAATGTGATATCTTATGAAATACCTGATAGGGCATAGCTCAATAAATCTTTAACACATGTCAGTGGAAGGAGGGAAATGGTGTTTATACGGTGTGTGCTGATGGGTGAGTGGCTGGTGGGCATGTGAACAATTTAGTTTATTCCAGAAACCCCACTTGGAAGCATTGTTGGTTGTGATTAAACATTTAATTGTGTCCAGCGTGTGGTGAGTTGATTCTGGTGCTGTAAGGTATCATTAAGACTCTGTGTGTGCTCGGTCTAGTGGGCGTACCATGGCACTCTAGGGGCTGCTCCCTGAGTTCCTCTGCATTAGCAGTACTGCTCTATGGTTTGCCCATGGTCTGGGGACACCTTACTCCAGGGCCTCCTCGTGGCTTCCATCATGGTTCTCCATGGTTCTGCCCCGTGTGTTATGTATGGCTCCTCATTCACAGACAGAAGCCGTGGGTGATTGTGTTTGCACTCCTTTTATTACTGGGCTTTCAATATTTCCACCATGTGTTGGATCCTCTTCTGGAACTTCACCTCGGGCTGAGTTCTTAGGTACAATGAACATTTCCAGACTTTGCAGGGAAGTCCTAATTCTACGGAAGTGGCCTTATCTCCTGCTTTGCTTCTTCATGCCTCCTAAACCTCATCCATGCTAATCACTCGGAGACCACCTTCCGGCCTCTGCATGACCATATACGGTATTGCCTCAGCTAGGAATGCCTGGTCCCTGGGGAGTGTAGGGATGGGCAGATGGGTCTTTGTGTCATTTGCTGGTGAGGTGATTTACTCTTACAGATATATTCTGCTTTTTTGACATTAGAGTCCATTCCCTCAACTACTTTCTGGACTTTTAAACAGCCTCCTGTATATTCTTCCTGCTGGTCTCTCCCTGCTCAACTCTGTCCTCATAGCCTCCAGAATGATGTCACTTACTAAATTGCTCTTCACGATGGAAAGAGTTTTGAACAATGGGTCTGGGTGTGTGCCTTCATCACAGTTTCTCTGAGACACTCAGGGCAGATCATTTACCCTCTCAGGGACTCCGTTTTTCACCTATAAATTAGCCATGTTGGACTATATAAAGTCTAATGTCTGTACTTGTTCTGCAGGTCTGGATGAAGGGAGTGGTTTTACAACCTTCACTGTCTTATAGACTCAGATGACAACTGTGCATGAGGATATTTCTGACTCCAAAATGTCACCGGCTCTTATGAGAAACTATGGGATCCATTCTGTGTAAAAATAATGTTAGTGAAGAATTCATTGGGGCAAAACGCCCTCTGCTATATATAAGAATACAGAGAGAGAGACTGAGCGCATGATGAGAGATGATCAGTATGTTGTGTGTGTATCTTGGGAGGGCGGCATGGAAGCCCATATGTAATAGAATTCAGGTAGAGGAGCAAAGCCAGAGCAGAGATGGTCCAGATTCTCAGTATCAAGAAGCCACTGCCCAGGACCTGGAGGGAAAGCTGGGTTAGGCCACCCAGAGTTCAGATGGTGATAGCAAGAACCAAGAAGAAGGAGGGCAGTGTCAAAAAACTACAGGAGAGGGCTTCCCTGGTGGCGCAGCAGTGAGAGGCCCGCGTACCGCAAAAACAAAAAGCAAAAAAACAAAAACAAACGGTTGCTTAGAAAAACTTAAGTGTAGGCTTCACATAATTTTTATTAATTGATACACAGCCTTTTCCGTAAACAATTTCAGAGAGTGTGTTTTTCAGGCAATTCTGTTTTATCTTCCCTTTTGCATCATTATGGATTTATGACTCTCTGATACCTTAATGCAACCTTGTTTTCTTTCAACATCTAGAATCTACAAACTAATCCTGATTTTTTTTTTCCCTGCCCAGAAATATGGAGTCAACTATCCTCCAAGGGCATTTGTTCCTTTCATTGGAGAATAGTTTTAGAACCCACAAGCACTAGTTCCACAAATAAGCTTGTCCCACATTCCAACTGGAATTTGGCAGATGGCAGCAAAAATATCCAACGGCATAAATCACTGTAGGGACGGAACAGATAAAGCCTCTTTAAAAACATGTCATTTAAAAACATTGGTATTTCCAATTCATCTCAATTTTAATAAGTTCTTCTTGGCTTGCTCTAACAGAAGAGGTTATCAATCCGTTCTTTTTTTTTTTTCAATTTTTAAACAACTGATTTTTCTTGTTTCCATGAGTATTAATTTCTTAAAAGCAATATATTATCATACCAAACCAGAAGTCTGAATATCAGTGTTGCCTCCCCAAATTCAGAAGCCTCCACATCTTTTCTTCTGTCTCCACCCTCAGCTCAGCCATCCTGAAACTAGCTTCACGGTGAGCAGGTCCCATCAATTCTTTGGTCAGCATCGTCTTAGCACCAGTATCTGAAAGGAGAGAAACCCTAGCCTCCATCTAGGGGAACACCAAAGAAACTAAGATTTTGGAACACTCAGGGTGACACATAGATGGCTTGTTTGCTTAATAAAAGATAATAATAAAATGTAGAATACAAAGTTTAAAAAATCCTCTGTCAATTTTTTCCATTTGAGCTCCCAATTGGAATTTATTTTCTCTTTATATTTTTTCTTTCATTAGTGCCTTCATATATTTACAGGGCAACATTTTTAGTAAAAAATTGTAGTTTCATACAGGCCCATAGGTATATACAGTGTCCTGTACTGACTCACAAGGGTCAACTTTGCACATCTCTTCCCAATTCTGCACTCAGTGATATCACGTTTGTAGCTTACAATCAGCCATAATGGAAGTATTTACACCATGGAAATAGGCAAACACTATCAACCAGGACTTTCCACCCAGAGGGCTGGTTTTTAAGCATATATCAGGACAACTCTGGGTACACACCTCAGTTTTACCAAAACCGGTCAAAATGTCAGAACAAAAAATCAATTGATATACTATACAATTCTATATTCTGATATAGAATTATCAGAATAATATGCCAAACATTATGGTTGAGAATTCCCACTCAAGAAATTTACATAGAGTAGCTTTTGGAGCTTTATGTAATTTTTGTAATATTCACTGCGTAGTGCTCCCCGGAGCCAACCCTTGAAAGACAAAAAGTACAATTGGGTTATAGTACATTTTAGTTATAATTCCATTTAGTTATTCACCAGTTTCAAGTAATTTCCAGATATTTTTGATCCATTCCCCAGAGGCCTTTATTTCCACAACAGACAACATAGAGAATTCAGTAATTTCTAGTTATTAACATTTCTGTGCTGATATCCAATTTTTTACATGAATTAATACACACCATGCTCTCTCCTCGATGTCACATTCTGTAGTAACTGTGTATTATCTGGGTGATATGGAGGATAGAACCCAGCAAACTTGGAGCATGGGGTCTGGCTTTACCAAAATCTAAAACGAGCTAAAGGGATGTGAAGTTTCCTCATTGGGTCTGAGTGGGGCTGGCCCACTAATTTGTTCTTTCAGGTGGTCTGTCATGGCACCCCTGGTGTTATTCCCAGGAATGTAATGGCCTCAGGTATCTAATCGTTGGAAACTGTTCATGGTAGAGGTTCTCTTTTTGTTGTTCATTTAGCACCTGAATTTAGGCAGGAAACATTTCTACTTGAAGGCTCTGTGTAGTTTGATTCCCTGCCTTGTTATTGCCACTTCTACAGAGAAGTGGCCTCCCCAAGTGAGGAAGCCAGGACACTCTGTCCCTCCAGCTGCCTTGGGACAGTACTCGTCCTGCTTCCTCTTTCCGGGAGTATGGCGTTCTGAGCTACAGCCCATCTGAGTCTAGCACGCTTCCTCCCTACTTCTGGCACTCCCTCTCACCCAGCCCCACACCTCGAGCAGGACTTCCCCTGGCATTGCCCCCAGATTCTCACTTGCCCTTTAAGCTTGGCTAGGTCTGGCTGTGCTCTCTCAAGGACACAGATCCATGGCCTGGTTGGTGCTTCAGGCATCTGCCTGTGCTTGGCCGCCCCAGCTCCCAGCAGAATGCCGGCCCCGATGCCCTCGCTCTCCTGTGCTCTGAGTTTCCCTCCACCTAATACTGTCCATTTTACATCCCTCCACATTCTACTACGTTCCATTATCTTCTACTGTGCTTTCTTACCTGTTACCAAAGGAAAGTTGGGAGAGAGGGAGGGGTACATTCTAACTCTTCCCCCTTTTGCCATGTCAGAAACGAGCAGAAACCACAGTACAACCCAGATAAAAAATTGACTCTGAACAAGTATCTTTGTTTTCTAAGACTTGTAACCTTGGAGAGACCCCAGGTTAATCAGTAGTCTCCCTTACCTCCCCAAGCATGTTTGTGTCTGGCTAATACTGTTGACCATTTCCATATAGCTTTTAATTCTGTTCTTTCTTCAAACCAGGAATTATTTCATATCTTCTTTTTGATTTCCAAGACGATAGATATTTCTTGGATTATATTTCTTGGATATATCTTGTTTTGCTAGTACCCCGAGATTGCAGCCCAGAAATGTTGTAATAGTTTATAAATTCTCATAAGTAGCTTATGAGAATTTTTCCCACATCTTTGCCAAAACTTGATAATTTTTAATTTTTGCCATTATAGTGGTTGTACAACAATATCTTTTTTCTGCACATCCCTGAAGAAAGACACATATCTTCAGGTTGAAGAAACTTGAGTCCTGAGCAAAATAAATAAAAATAAATCCATACTTAGTGATGTCATAGTGAAACTTCAGAACACCAAAGACAAAACGAAAAATCTCAAAATCAGCCAAAGGGAAAATACAGTTTACTTACAATGGAAGGACCAGCAGACTGACAACGCATTTCTCATTGGCAATTACAGAGGTCAGGAGACAATAGGACAATATCTTCAAAATGCTGTTGGGAGGAAAGAAAAAAAACCTGTCAAACTAAAACCCTATATTATTCTCCCAGTGGTTTTGTCTGTGCATCCTCAATTGACCTCCCCCACCTTCTTCAGAAATACATACTGAGGGTAGGTGTCGAAGCTGGGAAGATCCTAGAACCTCATGCCTTCTGGTCATATGATTGTTCCCTTCCTTTGTCCAGAGCCTTTTGGCTCTACCCCAGGATTGTAAATACCACTTGGCAAGGCAGAGTTCTTTGGTTAACCAAATATTTCATGTTCCTAAAGCCTGCCCCACCTCAGGGAGCTTTGTTCAATTTGCTTAGCCCTAGTGCATACATGGTTCTAGGTCCAGAGATGGGGACCAACATATCCTTTTCGCAGCCCAGTTTGGCTCCAGACCTTGTTCTATATCAGTAAACAGACTGCCTAGACTCTATCTGATCACAGTAGTCATCACAGCAGTCAGGTTCCTAGAGTTCTAGATGACTAAAAAGCGGTAAGCTGACCTCTGTCAACTAGCCTCCTGCACAAAAGCCTCTCTGAAAAGTTATTTCCATCTAAGTGTGCTAAATCTTTCAGATTCAAAAAGTTTATCTTCTTTGGTCTGCACAGTAGCCCTGTGAGAAAGGGAAGGTGAGGTAGGCGTCATCCTTTCACTTTCACAAATAAAGAAATCACAACACATGGGTCAAATGACTTGACCAAAGTCATACAGCTAATGAGAAACAAAACCATGTCTGAGCCCAGTTTTTGTTATAATTGCCCTTTCCAGAATCCAGGGATTTTTGCCCATTTTCTTGAAACTTTCTTTGACCTACTACTTTCAATGCCAACAATTGGAAAACGTATTAATTTACTATATTCACTCTTTTTTTTTTTTTTTTTTTTTGCGGTGTGCGGGCCTCTCACTGTTGTGGCCTCTCCTGCCGCGGAGCACAGGCTCTGGATGCGCAGGCTCAGCAGCCATGGCTCAGGGGCCCAGCCGCTCCGCGGCATGTGGGATCCTCCCGGACCGGGGCACGAACCCGTGTCCCCTGCATCGGCAGGCGGACTCTCAACCACTGCGCCACCAGGGAAGCCCCCTATATTCACTCTTATGTGAAGCTATTATATGTTTGCAAAATAGCCAAATGTAGACAGCAAGATAGGAAATATCAAGAAATTGAGTGTATGTTTAGAAATCAGCTAATTAATTTTTAAAAAATCAAGATGTATATTATACTGAGAGGTTAGCATATTCAAATGAAATCTTATTTTATAAATACTCGTTGCAGTTAAAGCTTAAATAGGAATACTCATAGAAATATTGCTCAGGGCAGAGGAAAAATCAAAGAATTTCAGTTCAATAGATTATTATTTTCTGAAAGCTTAAGTAAAATCGCGTACCTTGATCATGAGAGTTACTCTCTGGAATAGTGGCAAGGATCCTTGTGGGATCCTGACATTATATCATTATCTACTTCTAGATACTCTGACAAATGAAGGCAGAGGACCCTGCAACAGAGGAAGGACTCTGCCCATTTTGTTTTTCTGAGTGGATAACATGAGTTCACATTTGGTCTTCCCCTGGCATAGAGTCTGCAGCTGCAGCTCCTCAGATGAAATGCTTTATTCCTCACTAGGGCCAGGGTATGGAAAATAATCACATTTTTCTCTAAGACACAGATGTAATCCCTGAGTAAATGAGCTGGAGGATGAGAGCAGCCTGAAAGTTTTAGGAGGAAGTGCCTTACAGGAAGTCATACAGCATAGGGGACCTTTTGTGTACAAGCTGTTACTAAGCGCACCTTAAGAAAGACAATGACATACTTATTTTAAGGATGATGCTTTTCTTACTATTATTATTATCTTTTAAAAAGGAATTGCAAACATGGCACATTTCTAGGTAGAGTCTGCTCACCACAGCAGAGTGGAAAGTAGACGACATCCACACTCTGCCAGATCAACAGCATAGTGGAAATGAAGGTTTAAAAAGGGGCCAAAAGGAGATTCAAGGCCATGCTTTCAAAGCTGTTTCCATAAATCCCAGAAAATGACAGTTGTCCATATCATGTAATCGAGGGGAATGAGAAACAACACAGGGATATGAAACCATGGTCCTCGCCCTTATGAGGACTGCGTTCTAGGGGAAAAGACGGGATAAGTATACAAATAAGTACATGAAGTAAATACAAGTAGTGAAGAGAACTATGACTATGAGAATGAGTGTCGTGTTTCCCTGTTTTACTGAGTGAGTACTTTGTACATGCCAGCTCTATGCTCATTCCTTGCATGTTCTTCCTACTTAATTGTCCTTATCTATAAAATGAAGCCTAAAGAGCTTTCGTCACTTATCCAAGTTCACACAACCAATAACAGACAGGGGTTTGACCACAGGTGTGTTTCAGCTCCCTCACTCTGAATCACTGCACACACCACCTTTCCTAACAATGGTAAAGTGATAGCTGCCATAGTCAACTCCCACTTCTGTGGAGAGTGTGAGAGGTGCCCTGATCTGTGCCCTTGGCCCAGACCCGTCCCTATACCCTCCCACCCATGAGCCCATCAACCAATAAAGCAAGTGCTAGCCGACCCAGGCTGTACTAAATGCCCCTGTGAATCTAGGCATCCAGCCCCATATGGATGGAGGAGATGGTAGCGTACTCTTAGGTGTGCTCAGCTATCCTCTGGAATAGTTGTGTGACCTTGAGCACCTGAAGTTGTCATCTGGGCCCTCTGCCTGATGGTTGGAATTCTCATTTCTGAGTCTTTACTTACATACTACTCAATAAATCTCTAAATAATTTTCTCTTCAGTATATTTTCATTATTTACTCAGTCAGAAAATATTGACCTTGTTGGCCAGTGACACTGGTGATGAGAAGACTTGTCCATGAACTTGAGGACAGACCCTTTTGTTTTGATCACTTAGATATAAATTAAAAAGTGCTTCCTGCTCCAGGGTCCCATGTGAAAGGAGAGCTCCTAAAACACATGGGTGGAGAGCAAAGGTCAGGTAGTCCTCTACAAATTTTAAATGGGGCCTTAGATTTTGAGACAAAATGAGTTCTCTATTTAGGAAGGGAAAATACACACACACACAAACACACCTGATTTTTTTCCCCTGTGTAAATAATGTCCTGGGTTAAACAATTTCATTGGCATAATGAATTCCCTGTATGAGCAAGTCACTGTATAACCCTGTTCTAAATCAGTTATATCCCAGTAGGGGTTAGAAGTGTTCAGAAAACAGAGCTGCCTTAAGAAGCAGCTTTATAAAGCTTTGTTGGGTGATACATGTACACTAAAGCTTTTCCATTCACAAGTCGAAAGAGAGAGGATATTGGAATGACATGCCAACCAAACCCTTGTGCTGTTTGGGCAAGGAGCACCGCTGGGTTTACCCTGCCAGGAGCTCAGTACCTCCCATCTGCATGTGATTTTGCGTGCAGGGGTGACAGGGAATCAAGGATGGAAGGAAGGGAGCCAACCTCCCCCAGAGCACATGAAGCAGCAGAAGGAAAGAAGCCACAAAAAGGGAAGAATCTCTCTCTCTCTCTCTCTCTCTCTCTCTCTCTTTCTCTCTCTCTCTCTCTCTCTCTCACACACACACACACACACACATACATGTTTGGTGCTAAATACTCCCAGCTCTTCAGTAGGACTCCAGAGATTCTCTTATGAGGACTTCAAAAGCTCACTGAAGGGAAACTAACACCAGAAGAAAAGGGAAGGTATCATGTGAGAAGCTGCATTCAAGTATTTGAGGACTTTTGGAGACTTGAGTCAATGAAAGTAGCAGCAAATTAAAACTGTAGGTGAAAGCAAGTTACAGAGGTAGATTCAGCAATGACGCAACCATCCTAACTCAAGAGAACGCATCTGCGTGACATGATGGTACCTTTGTACCAGGCCACTTGCGGAAGCGAAGAAAATTGGGATTGGAGAGGCCTGGAGCCAGAATGCACCTGGATGTGGGTCAGCACCCCTCTCAGGGTCATTCTTGGTCACCTGACCGTGGGGACCTGCATGAATCATAGTGGTGCTGGTTTGGGTGGAATCTCAGTTAGCAGCTAAGAACAAGATCTGGAGAAGGCAGCAAAGACAGTGTGAAACCCAGAGCAATAAAAGTACATAAAATTGTTAGTAGCTCTGCTAGAAATCTAAACACCAAGATCTTCTGTGAACTTAAGCTGTGAGAAAACAGATGGGTGAGGGAAAGAGACGGAAGGAAGACAGGAGCTAGAAGGAGAGGAAGGGTAGCAGTTCAACGGGGGCAGAGTGGTCCCCTTCTGCCCCTAGCTTTTTCTGTGTTCCCAGCCCTACCCACTAGGATCGGTGAGCGAATCATTTAAGATCTCAAGTCTCGGGAAGAAGCTGTGGCTTAGAAAAATAATGGAGTTGAAGTTCTCAATAAATCCGCTGTGCAGCTAAAACCATTTAATCATGATCTTTGCATGAGAGGAGGAAAATCATAGGGAATGAAATGAGCAGGATCATTTTAAAAGTAAAGATTTGGTTGGCAGATTACCACAGTAAGAAGATGAAAGAAAAGTCAGGAAAGTCAAATGCGACCAAAATCCACATTAACAAAAGTTGAAGAAAACAGACACCATTTACATTCCAAGCCAAATAATGAGGTGTCAGCAAGGCATCAGCTGGAAGAAAAACGTTGGAAAATGATTCTTTTTTTCACTGCTTGCAGCCAAAGCTCTAGTTGAAAATAAATGCAAAATTTTGCAGCTGGCAGTAGAGATTCTTAATGATCTCCATCAGCAGAAAACTAAGATTCTTTTAAGGGGTCTGACTCAGAAAACTTATAAGCCAGAAGAGAGAGAACAGAAGCTGTCAGCTGAAGAAGGGGATGTTCACAGAGAATTCAAGAAACAGAAGAGAAATTATAGTGAAGATAGATTATGTGAAAATCTGTTGGATCACCCTGTGGGGAAAAAAAGCCCAAGACACCAGGCTTTTTCTTTTTGATGCATCAAGATTTCTTCCTGGAGAGAAGAGAGATGCTGCCTTCCAGA